TTTTAAATACGTAAACTCTAAAGTAATTTTCAACATCTACAATAAATTTCCAATACTCAAATGTTAACATTTGTTTTTTTTCGAATTTTTTATGGGCAATTTTCAAAGGTAAAGTAACATAACTATTGAATATGAGACATTTCTTAAATTAATATATAATTATTATTATTATTAATATAATAGAGGTGAACATGGTTACATATAGAAGACAAAATAAAAAACTTGATGTCATTATGTTGACGTAGGGTTAAAATAAGCCAAGTCTAATAAATAAATATCCTTATTTTATTATCGTCCGTCGAATATCAAGTTTTGTTATCAAAGAATTTTAAATCATAAATGCTAGAGACAATTGTTTATTTATTGTAGGGAAGGGAAAATCCTTATTATAATTCTTTATTTGACATTATTGTACATACAGAATTCACGCGCGTGAAATTCAAATCAGCCAATCTCATCCCGAAATTTTCACACGTTGATTTTTGGCTCAAGAATATTAATTTGTCTGGTAGCAGGTTATGTATTTTGGGTAATATTAATATACACAAAAAATACTGACATGATTTGATCGATATTATGTAAATACAACAACGGCAGTTAAAATATAATACAAATTTTTTATAAACGAGGCTGATCAAATTTATTACAGGATGCAATCGAATTATTCATTCTTTAAAATTTGTTGTCTTTGGTAAATATATATTTAGTGTTTTGTATGATATAATTAATTCTAAATCATCATCAAACACCATTATATAGACTGCGGGACAAAGATTTATTGAGATATGATAAAATCAATGAACAGTCATTCAAATGATGGTGATGAATACCTATTAATAATAACAAAGAATTTTAAATTGAAGAACCACAAGAAATTCCTTTGCCACAATTATCCAAACCACCCATCACCTCCTCCAATTATTCAAGGTTAGCAAAGAACAAAGGATGAGACGAACAATGGAATAATAATTAATGAAAACAAAGCAATTATTGATGAATTTAAGAATAATTGGTTAGTATAGTATGGCTTGACAAGGCAATTTATAGTAGCCTCAAAAATCTTCAAAAAATAGGTTCAGGTGGTCCAGAAAAGTTCATAAAGCAATATTTAACCAATATCAGGACTTTTGTCTTGAAATCCTATAATACAGTATAACAAATATGAAATAAGTTACTAATGATGTGTTTTGGTTATGGATTAAAAAAAATTTTCAACTAATGATAATAATTGGCTAAACTATTACGTAAACTTGATTATTATCAAAATATTATTCATTTCTAAGAATGAAGGTACACTGTATCTTATTTCAACGAATATAATTAAATTCTTGTTTGAATGAAACTTTCTTATATTTGTTGTATATAGTAAAATTATACTGTATATTTAAATTATTTCCTACTTCAATTTTCTCCATTAACTAATAATTATAATACCATCAAGAATTTTAAAATTGAATTCAACACTTGAATCATTAACAATCAATAAACAATTTACTTTGCTTTTTGCAAGTTGGATTGATAGAAAAAGTCCACTATATATCTCATTCATGGAAGTCAAATATGAATTCAAACTTCTATATCGTAGTAGCAGGGATGGTTTAAATGCTGCTATATTTCATCAACAATGTGGTGGTAATATTAACAAAACTCTTGTAGTTGGCAAAATACAAATTTCAGAGCAAATAGTTGATGGTTATAATATCCACTTGATTGGATATGAATATAAAAATGCAACAGAAAGTTTTATATTTAATATAAGTGATAGGAAAGAAGACATCAATACTGCTCAATTTAGTTATATTATCAAGAAAAAAAGTATTTTTGCAGTTCAATGTTCTCTTATTAGTTTACCTTTGTTTGGTTTTCATGATGTACGGTTTTGTATAAATGGCTGGGTTGGTTGTAACCCAATGACTTGTAAAAGTATCAATATGGCGCGTATTAGTAATTTTGATGAATTAAAAGTTTTTCAACTAATTGATAAAAAAAAAAGTATTTACAAAGATCATTTATTATTATTCTTTTCTCCAAAAATTCTTAAAATTTTTAAAATAGTCTCTAAAAGACACAAGGTAATTTCATTTTGTTTTAATGAAACAATAAAGGCAGTTGATTTTGTTGTATTCTTATATAAATAAATAAATTGAAAGGACCAAATTTGAAAGAAAAAAAGTATTACCTCTTCCACACATGCACACTCTCTTTCCTTGATTTTTCCATTAGTTTTGGTTGCAAAAACTGTTCTGAAGAGTCGAAAGTCAAAACTAAAATTAATAGTTATATGTCAAAAGTCAAAAGTCGAAACCAGTTTTGACTTATAGTGAAACCTACTGACTTTCGCACAGTTTCGAAACTCTATAGTTTGGAAACCAACATTAATCCATTCGAAATTTTCCAATCAATAAATAATTGGATCTTTTAGATTAATATATTAAATCTAACATGTTGAGTTCAGGTGTTGGATTATCCTTTCAACTATCTATCTTTTTAACAATAAACTTTTCTTTTTTGGATCAATAAAGAAACCACCAATCTTTGAAAAGGTAAGATGTCTTTGAAAATATACAAGTTCAAATATAATAAGTCAATAACACCAACTACTACATCTTAAAAACAGTGGCTATTATTACTTGAACACTAGATTGTTTAAGGTATCATTACTACCAACTTATATTATGTTTAAAAAAAATAGAAGGGTTAATGAGCAGACATAAGAACTGTTTATTTATTTCATTTCCCTATTCATTCGTTAAAAAAAATTTAATAACATCAAAAAAGCTATAATTAAATGACTAATTATTGTTATACGATCAAAAAGGAAAACAATAAACATATCAAAAACAATTATTATTGTATTGATTGTTGCCATCTGGTTAGTATTTCTAACTGGTTATAGGTAACAATATTACGTACTATTGTACGCAGCCATCAAAAATATTTTAGCTGATATTATTACTAATGTTTGTTTTCTTCAATGGTTAAACGATGGATGATTGTCCATCTATAAATGGATAATAATAGAATTTGTAAAAAATGAATTTATATTTTTTTTGATCGAGTTACTTTCAATCCTTGCTACCTCCAATCCATTGTATGTTTTACAAACAATAATCGATTGTAAATATGCCATTCAGGAAAGTTAAAGGAATTGATAATATTAATTATGTTTTTTATCGTTTTATTATAGCCATAAAAGTTTTAGGCTCTAAAAAATTCCAGAAAAATCAGAAAGAAAGATAAAGCTCAATGGTTAAAATTTATCAGAAAATATGTTTCATACATGATCTATAAACCCAGAACCTCAAAATGAACGCAGAAATCATACATGAGGAACTATTGGAACGTGTAGAAGAAGGAAAATTTGAAGAAGAGGAACTTCCAAGAATTCAATCATTGTACACTTTGGAATTATAGTTTCAATTTGTCAATAAAAATAAAGAAAAATTATTTTAAAACGTAAAATTTGATTAGTTTTTTGATTTGAATCTATGGGTAAAAAGTCTTTATCAAGAAGAAAAAAAATATATTTTTTTTATAATGAATCAAGTGGGGATTTCGGTTGTGTTAGATTGAGCACAGTACACTTCGTACAGTGAGTATTTTTAAAAAATTTTTGAAGAAAAAAAAATTGTGCACAATATAAGATCTGAAACCAAATTATAACTTCTTGTTTTACTTCACATACATTATCAAGCAAAATGGTGGAAAGTTTTTGCCTCCCAGGTAATTTAAAAGAAAATGAACTTTTGCTTGTGATAAAAAAAGAAAAAGCCCACACTGATAAATGGAATTTACAAATAAAACTTTTAATTCAGCTTGTTCTTTTTTATTGGTACTTTATCAGCAAAATGACTTAAGGATAGACTTTTAATTGTAATGGTGAGGATGATGATTACGCATTATTATTATTATTATTTATTATTATCATTATTATTCCCGGAACTAAAGAATGATTCTAAACCATTTGCAGGTGCATCTTTACATGTTTAAAACACGCATTACGCCTTGTTACACCTCCATATAATTCATAGCTGTAATATTTACATTTGGAACGTTTTTGTTGAAACTTGGACACTTTGCCTAATTTTTCAAAATTAGTGTTTGTCGCCAAACTATTTTGAAGAGGCGAAAGTTAAAACTAAATCAAAAGTCATAGGGTCAAAAGTTTTGACTTTCGCCCAGTTGCAAAACTCTAGTTTTGGGAAACAACACTATTCCAAATATTTTTAGAAATCCCCGTCTCCTGCACACTTTTTATGGAAAAGTGCGTTATTCAAAGAATTTCATGCGCAGCAATGCACATATGGATCTGCGAAATTTCCCCAAAATCTTATAATAATTCGCGTGTGTTACATAAAAAATGCGCACATTTTGTTGATCATCATCAAAAAAAATTTAGTTTTATCCTGAAAACATCGATAATTAATATTAATAATAAAATATTAACTATATATTAATTATAATATATACATTTTTTTTTAGACGAATTTTCTGCACAAATCCTGCTAATAGATTATTGGCTATCTTTAATGTGCACACTGCGCTGTTCACAAAAGGATCGATTTTCGTACCTATTACTATCTCCATATTAATATTAATATTAATATGCGAAATTACTATTTAAAACTCCAAGATTAATCTAGACAATATGCACAATTGCAAAAAAAAATTATTATTTCCTGATTTGGAGAAGATGATTTCTTTGGCGTTGAAAATATAAATATCTTGCTTTATTCTTTTTTTTTAAAAAAAAAAAAAAAAAAAATGATACTGCAAGACTTAATCAAAAAAAGGCGTAAAACCGAATCAAGATTGATTTTGTATTTACGACGTTATGTTATTCTTGTATTATTTTCAATGTTGATTCTTTTCTTTGTGATATTGTTGATGAGGGTGATCAATGAAAAGCTTTCTATTAGTATTAATTTTACACCAATTGATAGTTTACCCGTCCCAAGTAAATAATTTTTTTTTTGTACTAAAAACCAAAATTAAACAATATGTTTCTAATATCAAAACCACGAATAAATACAGACATCTATTTATCACATTATGGAGTATTTAATATCACTTGTATGTACAAAGTTGTTGGAGAATCTCTGGGTAAGAAGTTTTCGTGATTGTTTTATTATTTTATTATTATTATTATTTTATTATATCTGACTCGTACAAAATGTTCAAAAGAAAGTTGTGATCAGTACGTTACACAGCCAGTAGAAACCAATCATCTTCGTCCTTATATTGGAACATTTTTACCAAAAGAAATGAATTTGAGCGAGGCTAACGGTCAAGGAGCGAATCTTGTTTATCTTTCAATAGATGTCGGAAATTATTACACTTTCAGGAACGATATCGATGTTGTGGATCGTCCTACTCGCGCTCTTCAGAGAATGATGGTAATGCAGGTGTTAGATTCAGGTAAAGTTTTTCATAAAATTGGTTGATTATATTTTGATGTTTTGATAATAATAACGTGCCCATCGATAAATAGAGGATGATCCAATGAATAAGAATTTTTTCTATAACAAAACGGCGTCCTCATTTGAGAAATCGCTTTTTCATATGAATAGTTATTATTTATCAGGAAATATTGTACGTATCATCGTTTTAGCAAACTGACAACTTTTATCAATAAATTATTATTAAAAAATCAATAGATGTATATTTTAGGATACTATAGAAAAACCAGACGCACGATGACCAATTCAGTCTTTAATTACATTGGTTTCTCACAAACATACGATTCCCAAAATTATATCGAGTCAGAAATACGTAAATATATTTGTTTTAAAAAATTGTATTGCGTATTTTATCATGTCATGTGTGCATATTGAGCCTTTTTAAATACTGATGTATTGATTAATAACCACAGAGGTGTCGACCGTGACAAATAACCAGTCTATCATAACAGTAGCTATTACTCCACAAAACTTTATCGTACAAGAGGAAGTAGAACAAAGGTAAAACCAACTTGAATGAGTCCACTTTGCTAATATATTATTAACACAATTCTACAAATAAATAATCATAACATATAATAGGCACAGTACTGTAAGTAATAATATTTATTTAAGACCTCAGTTTTTGAAAATCTGTCATACACAAATAGTAATCAAAGTTCCAATAAATAGCTTATATCTATAATAGCAAATTTTTTTGCTTACTATACTGCTATTGTAGCTTTCTATGCATTTTTATTTGGTAAGTTGGCTTTTTTTCTTTTTTTTTTGAGTCAAATCATTGCGATTTTACAATTTGTTCATTTATTTTAAAAAATTCAAATTCTCAGGAGTTGATTTAATCTCTCCATGGGGTTCCGTGCATAACGGATGCTGTGGATTCAAAAAACTTAAAAGGAGAACAGAAGAAAGCCTTTTACCACTTGTGAATGATGACACAGGAAAACACGAGGATAATTTAGAACTCCCACAAAAAGTTGAACATTTGAAAAAATTTGAATTCTTCCTTAAAGATTATATCGTTGACACTTCATTACTAGAATCCATTAAGCAACAATCAAGTCAAAGGCAGGAGCAGCAGGAACAAGAAGAGCCACTACAATACCATAACAACACGAGCATGACAAGTCAAAATGGATAAAGGATCTTTTTGTTCTTTATGAATGAATAATTGATATTAGAAATTAATGATTAAGTTGACGAGATTAGTGAATTGTGTGAATTTGGTGGACGATAAATTATCAGAATTTTATTTTTATATACATATTATTATTAATAATTATTTTTAAAATAATAAGATTAAATTTTACGGCATATAGTAAAGATTATTATATATATTTAGATACGTGTAAATTAAAATAAAATATATTTATAAAATCCTTTAATTATGAATTTTATCTCTCTGCTCGTTTTTTATCTTTTATACAATAATATTAAATCAAACCACGCATTCATTCTTCAAATAACAATTTTATTGAAATAAACAAACCATTAATCAAATGATTACATCACATCATATCCCAAATATTCAATAAAATTATACATCCACTCGAAGGTATGCACAACAGATATAAAGTTGTAATTATCTATCCCCTTTAATTTCAGCATGGTAATTAAAGATGCTTTTCAACTTGAAGCAAAAATACTTGAGAAGAAAAGTGACATCTCCTTGTCTTTCAAATGCAAGCAAGTTACCCTTTCTGCACATTTACATTCCGCCACGATATTGTGAGCTGACATTTACTTCACATTATAAAAATGGATTAGTATGGTTTCATCAATCATCATATTTTCTAGCCATCCTTTAAAAATTCTTATATGGTCCATACAACTAGAATTTTTTCTCCTTGGCCCATTACTAATTTCTCCATAGTAATAGAAAGCCTCCCAAATCAAGAATTCCTCTAACATATACCTAGCTTTTTTTTATGGGCCGTCTGCACTGTTATTCCTTTCCTTAGTTGCCATAAAATTTATGAATAATTAACCGTAAGAAATCACAAAATAAACAGAAAATGATTATTAAAAAGATTATTTTTCGAGTACATTTGGATTTTTTTTAAAAAATTTTTTCAGGAATGCTGTGTTTCCAAGGTTGTATGTATGAACTTGAGATAATTATAGATTTTTTTTCTTTTTCATTAATTTAATATAAATTAATAAGTCTTTTTTTACTAATAGAGAGATTGGGTGCCTGTAATCAATCGAAACTTTGGAGAATGTGATATTTATTATACCTTTGGGCGAAACTAAAATTTGATTTATCAAAAGTCAAAAGTTTCAGCATATATAAAAATATGTGGATAACAAAAATTATGATTCGGTAAACAATTTTCCGAATTTGCTTAAATATTCAGCATTTTGGCATTAACCCGTTTTAGTTTGTCGAAAGTCTATTACTATACCTTCGCCCACAAGTATAATACTTATCAATTAATTTAAACAGGAAATTACTGCTGGAATGAAAGCACAATTATCCCATAAATTGTATGCCGTTGATTTTACTTTCGAAAACAATTTTATCATTATGAACGAAAAATTAAATCGTTTACGTAGGAATTATTAATAAACATATAGCAATAAGTATGATATTAACTATGACTGAATGAAGATCTAATTCAATTATTTATAAACGAATTGTAAGAAAAAAAATTTTAATTGCTTAAAGCATTATTGAAAATTAAAAATTCTTATTTATTTGCAGGAAAAGAAGATGGTGATTTTGTAGCTTGAAGTTCTATGGTTTGTACAACAAGGGTAGTTTTACGAGCAAGAGAATTTTATTATTTTATGGAAGGTTTCGCCCATGGGTCACGTGGATTGTTGACCCGACCCTTTCAAAACTCTTGAGCACGAGATTGCTTTTATTATGGGAATTTTTTTGATAAATGGTAAAGCATTTTACAATATATAAAATTATCATGTAAAAAGTAACTTTAGTAAATAAGATTATTTGATTTTAGGTAGATTTTTAGATGAAAAATACGGTAACTAATCAGACTTTTCA